CTCTTTGGGAATATAGGTTCTGATACTGTACTTTACAGTCCCAAAATACTTAATGACTGACCTAGATTTTAATGATCCTATTATTATGTAATTCTGGATGAGACATTCTTTTAATATTAGCTGGGGGTGGAATATAATATTATACGAATAAAAAGGTCAAGGTAAAAGATGATATAGATGTTGTTGTTTACTTTTTTCTCCTAGCTTTTGTTTTAGTATTGAAGACAAATTCAGAGAATAGGAAAACGATTTAAGAAAATGGAATATTATCCAGGAACATAAAATAATACCTATGAAGCTATGTTTCTGTATGGAATTGCTTACTTGTTTTGAGACAGATTTTTCACTTATGTTGCAGAGGCTGGTTTTGAACTACTGGGCTCAAGCAATCCTCCTGCCTCCTACGGAGCAGCAGGAGGAACAAGACTACAAGAGTTCATCACCATGCCTGTCTTGCAGATTTTTAAAAAAAAAAACCAAAAAAAAAAAAAAAAAATTCAAAAAACTTTTCAACCGCAAAAGCGGAAAACAATAAAACAAAACAACCTTTCCCCCGGCCCCCGGGGTTCCAAGAAGAAGGGTTTCTCTCTAAATATTCCCTTGGCCTTCTGCTTTCTTTATGTTACTCACCCTCCAAGAGGTAGATGACTTAAGTGATTGATGAAATTTGGAAGAATTTGTCTGGTTCAGCACTTTTCTCCTCTCAGGGTTGGGTATGTGCCAGAGAGATGTTCTGCAATCTCCCAGAGGATGGTCAATAAAAGCAGGCCAAATATTCCCTATCCAATTCTATTTACCTTTGACTTACTTTGGAACACCTTTGTTCACACTTATCTTACAAGAACTTTAGCCTACTTTCCATCCCATCAATCATTAATTTTGAATTAGTGAAACTTAACAGAAAAATATTTTGTTTTCATTCGTTTTCATAAATTGTTTAGCATCAGCAACAAACTCTTCTGTTTCATTTGTCCACATGGTGAGAATGAGATCCTAATGTCTAACTCATCTCTCACCAATGAAGCACCAACAATTTCCTGGTGGAAATTCCTATTGGAATTCCTAATGAAATTCACAACCCTTTCTAAACACTCAATTTTAGACCAGATAATAACCGGGGCCAGAATGCCAAGTGTACCCCTTACTACAGCAATAGTCATACTGTTGATGAAAAGTCTCTGTATAATAGACGTAACAACACCCAAGCATTCCTGCAAGCAAACTAGACATTTATATTCCCCAAGGTATGTTGGCTTGTACTTGCTCTTCTGAATTATAAAACATTTTTCTACTCGGATCAGGGAATAGAGGACAAGAAGGAAGATTTAAATATTTTCTAAAGACTCACTTTGCGCAAGGCACTGCACCATGTACTTTATACATTCCAACTGAAATAGGTGAGAAAATTGTGATGTACCAAGTTTTGTTTATCTATCTATCTATTTATTTATTTATTTGGTACGGGGGGATTGAAACCAGGGGCACTTTACCACTGAGCCGGATCCCCAACCCTTTACTAAGTTGCTCAGACTGGCTTTGATATTGCAATCCTCCTGCCTCAGCCTCCCAAATTTCTGGGATTACCAATGTACTTCACCCTGCCTGGATGTGAAGTTCAATTATATTGCCCAGGGTCACTCAGTAAGTGACAGCTCCAAGATGTCAATTCAGGCCTGATTCCAAAGCCCACATACATGCTGCCATATTGGACAGCCTTCTATACACCCTGTTCCCTGCCAGATCCCCTGCTACAGTATTGATGACTTAGTAACATTTTGTCTCCTAAGGACTCAAGTCAGCCTTGTGCTAAACTTTCAGACCTATTTTTTACCTCAGTGGTCTTTGAAACTACTTGGTTTTTTGTGGTAGACTACAAAAACATCTTGTAGCTCTTTTTTGAAGGGATAGGGGTTACTGAGGATTGAACCTAGGGGCACTTCACCTCTGAGCTACGCTACCATTCCTTTTTTACTTTTTATTTGTGAGATAGGGTCTCACCAAGTTTCTGAGGCTGGCCTTGCACTTGAGATTCTCCTGCCTCAGCTTCCTGAGTTGCAGGAATTACAGTTGTGTACTGCCATTCCCAGCTATTTTGTGGCTCTTTCTTGTCAAGAGCAGGAGTCTATTTCCCTCCTCTGGGCTGAATATCTGATTTGCTTTGACCAGTAAAATGTGGCAGAAGCAATACTGTGGAAATTCTCAGTCTGGGCCTCAAGAAGCCTTGTAGCTTCTACTTTTGGCTCTTGGAATCCTCTGCTACCAAATGAACAAGCTCAGGATGAGCCCAATGGTGAATGAGACCACACAGAGTTGAGAAGAGTCATCTCAGCTGAAGGGCCCCAAGCACAAAGTTGTCCTGCCAGTTGACCATAAACACACAAATCATCCAGGCCAAGACCTGAAGACCTACCCAGCTAGACTCAGCCCAATTTACTGACTCACAGAATTGTGAGCAGAATGGTTGTTGTGTTAAGCCATTAAATTTTGGGTTGACTTGTTATACCGCAATGGTAACTGATACAGCCTCTCTGAACCTAGATTCAGAGACTCTTTGGAGTTAAAAATAAATGAGCATAAGTTCAGAGGCCATTGAAAAGTTTACTGACAACGGCTTACTCATCTATTCTGCACCCTACAAATCCAAATCTTATTCATTGTTAGCACCCTTTAAACTTAAATGCGTTACATTTTCAAGCAGCTAATGATTAATTGGTCCAGGCTTCCCTATCATGTATTCCGGAGGCAAGAAAAAACATTTCATAACTCTTTGTATTTCTTCATGGTACCTAGCACAAAGTCCTGTTGTTGTTGTTATTATTATTATACAGGGACTAAACTCAGAGGTGCTTAACCACTAAGCCACATCCTTAGCTCTTTTTATGTTTTATTTAGAGACAGGTTCTCCCTAAATTGCTTATAGCCTTGCTAAATTGCTGAGACTGGCTTTGAACTGATCACTAGCTGATGATCCTTAGGCTCCCAAGCCACTAGGATTATAGGTGTGTGCAACCACACCTGGTCACAAAGCCCTCTATCATCTATCCTCAATAACTTTTCAGAATCAATAGAGAGACAATTTTAATCTTGAGGGAATTTAGAACTTTACTACTGCTTTGAGGCATAGTGTAGAAATAGACCTGGGAATAAAATTTGGCAACTTTTTACAAGTGATGGACAAAACCCATATATACTGGCAACACCAGGTGTTATGAAACTTAGTCCTTGAGTTTCAATTACATTATTTGTTTGTTTCTTGGTCCTGGGGATCGACCTCAGGCCTTACTCATGCTAAGCATGCACTCCACCACTGAGCTATATCCCCAGCCCCTTAACTACACTGCTTTGTTTTTGTGGTACTGGGGATTGAACCTAGGGCACTCTACCACTGAGCAACATCCCCAGTTCTTTCTATTTTTTATTTTGAGGCAGGGTCTTGCTAAATTCTTCAGGTTGGCCTCCAACTCACAATTGTCCTGTCTCAATCTCCTGGGTAGCTGGGATTATAGGCATGTGCCACCATGCCTGGCCGGACTGCATTGTTTTTAAAAGCAGTTTCTAAGTCTTGGGAGACAGTTCAGGCAAACTGTAGAATCAGCAATTTAAATATGTACAAAAAGGCTTTAAGGTCTTCTGTACTTTCTGAGCATGACTAAGTTTTAGCAAAAAAAAAAAAAAAAAAAAAGTAAGCATGCCTGATATCTAACTGGATGGTGCTTAAACAAGGAATAATGAATTTCTGCTACTGTTCAGAAAATTTGTGGAACACCATAATTCTGGAACACTATATCATAGTTTTGGAATGTCACTTCATAGACTAAATAGGCTTTATCTGTAAAAGATCAGAGTTAACTTGTCAAAATTGAATTCACCACTGTAGCACTTCTTCCTTCACATCAAATTGTTTTTAGTAACATAAACATAACATCAGTTATTCACAAAACAAATATTCCAAGTTCAACGAGAGATATAACTCTACTTTAAATGCCAGTGAAAGAGTGTTCCATTATAATAATTATCATCAGCTAAAAAAAGACTGAGGTACCAAAAAACCAGTATCTTTCACAATGACCTTGCTTTAAAGATCCTAGAGCTCAGGGCTGGAAGTATATAGAGTGGTAGAGTGCTTACTTCGCATGTAGGAGGCCCTGAATTCAATCCCCAGTATCAATGAACCTGAAACTTAAAAGATGCTAAGTCACTTGCAAAAAATTAAATTGTACCTGGTGACTGAGTTGAATAATGGTTACTCAAAAATGCTGTGGCGTCAACTGGACATTAGCCATGTTCATCTACAAATTTAGGTGGACAAAAGAGATATGGATCACCAATGGAAAAATAAGGAAGACCTACAGATGATTCTGAATATTTTTTACACTTGGGATCTTAGCCAGAGAGACTAAAATTAGTGAATAGAAGGTCCAAATACAGAGTGTGACAGGAACTACTGCATAGTCTCTGGAATCTGTAACTATTGTTGTCCACAACACTCCCTCCATTTGATTCTACTATTTCTCAGATCTTGGCGGGGGGGGAAGGGTGTTTCTCTCTCTCTCTCTCTCTCTCTCTCTCTCTCTCTCTCTCTTAATATTTTTTTAGTTGTACATGGACACAATACCTTTATTTTATTTGTTTTATTTTTATGTGATGCTGGGGATCGAACCCAGTGCCTCATGCATGCTAAGCAGGCGCTCTACCACTGAGCCATAACCCCTGGGAAGGGGTGTTCTCTTAATTCTCAGGTGATTCTAACTTCATTCCTTCATTCAACCTAAGTGTGCTGAGCGCCTACTATGCCAAGTCCCATTTCTTAGGAGATGATTCAGCTATACATTTTTCCCAAAAAAGGGACAAAAGGAAGCAAAAAATAATAATTGTAACTTAGAGGATTGCTTAATCCATGCAAAAAACAATACATATTTCTGAAACACACATGAAGATATATTTGTAGCTCATTTAGGATGAATTCAGTGAAAAGTGGAAAAAAGGTCTTTTACTGGTACCTGTATCCCAATTCTTCACTGAGATGGATCATATGAAGGATATAGGATTCCTTGCTTGTTCCAGTGAGGCCAGGTAACAATAAGATAGTAGGTCTGGTACTGCCATCCGAATAACACACACTGTTATCATTATCAAACCAATCCAGTGAAATCTGACCTCCATCAGCAGTTTTAATAAGTTCACTGAAAGGAGCAATTCAAAAGATACTACTCATCAAGTGTTTCCAGTTCTTTTTAAATTTTAGTGTCTTAATGCTATAAATGTACACCGTTATTTGGTCATCACAAAATGACTTTTTTTTCAGCAGTCACATGCACACACACCTATATATGATTTCCTTTCATCACAAAGATGTTATAAAGATTAATACCATAATGTACTTCTACCAGCTCAAGAAAAAGTTTGTCTATAAAAATGAACTTGAAAGCACTTCAAATATTTATCTTAATCATTTCCTCATTACTCTAAAATATCTAGCATTTAACCCCTATTTGATTGAGGTCACTCAGATAACTCAAGAGGGAATTCTAAATAAGAAAAATGCTCTAGCTCTTTTGACTCAATAAATCTCCCCACAGAGCAGAGTATACTACAGATTTGCTTCTTAAATAATTTAAAGTACTTTTCACGTAGTAACAATGAACTTAATAGAATTTTCTCAAATAGTAAAAATTTCAAGCAACAAAAGGAACTCCAGACTAGATGACTCAGGGAAATTAATAGTAGTCACTATTTAAATCCCAGGTTAATGATATTTTCTGGATCATACCTTTAACACCTCAGGGATATTATCACCAAGAACCCATTTTGCTTGTCAACATGAAGACCTTTTACCCTAAAGCAGTCCAGCACACAAACCTGAAATAGCTGTCATCTTTCTCACCCCAGTATGTTATGTCAGTATGTTACACATCAATGAGTTGGTGCATATATCATCAAAGGGTCTAAGTCTTCAGGGACCGAGGCATGACAAACTGGAAAACACTAACCCCCAAATACTTCTCTCATTCAGAAATAAGCTATTTGTGTTAGGGCACAACAGCGGGATGGGAGGGGGAGCAATAAAACAATAATTTCCCGCAGCTGGAAGTAGGATGGAAGATATCCCTTCTATTTTCCTTCTTTCTGTCTTATATACTTAGTAAACCTGAGATTCTACTAAGAACTGGAAAACTAAGAGTATGCAAAACAGAAACAAACAACAACAAGCAAAAAAAAAAAAAAACGATTTTAGGAAAATGAAAACGGACATTTACTTACTTCCTGTACTGCACCGGCGGCTTGGAAGTGATGAAAGGTCTCAGCAGTGTTTGTCCTCGACTCTCCCAGCACCAGACCGTAGGGTAATACGTTTCTGTCACCACTGGACAGTGGTTCTGCAGGAAGCGGTTGAAACTCTCCCCTCCCGTCACTAACTGGGGTTTCTAAAGGGAAAGACAATATTAATGAAGGAATCCGGCACAAACCAAAGTTTCTGCCAACCCCAAACAAGAAACCAGCAAGCCTTGTGTCCCTCGCACGCGCAACCCCTCCGATTACATTTCCAGGAAGACTGATGCAAAGAATCCACAGTTACAAGAGTGATTTACCAAATCACTGGGGGGAAAGTCAAGAGTTAAGGTAAGGGAGTCATTCTCCAAAGTGCTACAACATGCGGAGCAGCATTGGGTAGCGCCAGCGCTTCGAGGTCAGCAGGGTCGGGGCTGATGTCCGAGGACCCCCCCCTCCTCGATCCCCAGCTTCAGGCAGGCGGTCAGGGGCTGGCCAGCTTTCCCGCGCGCGCCCAAAGGGCTCCATCAGAAGCCGAGGCAAGGGCAACCACTCGGGAGCAGCACCCTCGCTCGTCCCCGGGGCTGTCCACCCTCCGCTGTCCTAGCGGCCCTGCGCCAGGCGCCCGCGCCGCCCCCGGCTCACCTTGGCAATGCTGCTCAGGTAGTAGCAGGCATACGCGACGCTGAAGCCCAGGATCAGGGATAAACCCACCCCCGAACCGAAAAATCCAACCCGGATTTGGTGCTCCAGGTAGAGGGAGAGCTCCCGGGAGAGCATCCGCAGGTCCATAGCTAAGCGCTGCATGGCCCGGGGAGCGCGGTGCGCCGCTCCTGCGGCGGGAGGAGAGCCAGTCCGCGAGCCGGCGAAAGCGGGTGCCGCTCCGCCGGCGCCCTCGACAAGAGCGTCTCCAGCGGGAGGAGCGCGGCTTCCGCCAACGGGCGCGGCAGAGTGGCCCTGGGAGGCGTCGCCAGGCCCTCCGGATGCCGCCGGCTCCGCCCCGGCCTCCCCGAGCCGCCCCCGCCGCCAGCCACTCAGGAACCTTCCAGAGGCGCGGTTCCCAGCCCAGCCCAAGGGCGGGCGGACCGGGGTCTCCCGGCTCGGTCGCTGGCCGCCGGGGCAGCCCCTAGAATGGGGAGAGCGCACGTGAGCCGACTTGCGAGAAAGAAACGGGCTAGCCGCCTTGCTTCAGGTCGGGGGCGGACACCTGCCCCGGTGACCTTGACCGATGCCGCGCGGGTCTCGGTAAACTAGCGGTGTGCTGTGAACGGGAAGCTTGCAGAAGAGGAGACTGCCCTAGGTAGTGAAGGAAGCCTACATCCGCAGGAGTTAGGTTGCTCTCGAAGACTGTCAAAAGGGAGAAGAAAAAAAAAACAAAAAACAATCCTACGAACATTCACCAGCGAGGACGCTCACACTTGACTTTAAATCTCTCTTGTCACTCTTTTTAATAGCTAAATGACTTAAATGAGAAGTGGTTCTTGAACATAAGTGAAAAGGTCAAAAATAGGAAGTAGGATTCAATAATGTCAAAAGCTTATTTGTGGTTCCTTAATGCTTTGCACTTAGAGATGTATGGGAAATTCACAACGATTACCTAATGTGCAGACAGGAAACTGAAGTAGGTACTCCTACGGCTAATTTATGGCAACGCGACAAAGGTCAGAAAATATTTAAAGGCATATGAAACTGTTATAAGATTTAACAATCTGTCATTATGTACTCCTCTCTTTCAGAAGTGACAAAGGTGGCGAGATTTCAAGAGGCAAATTAAAGAAGGTAAGGGCAGGAATAGACTATGAAAAATATCACAGAATTGTCAAATAGTTCCTGAGGCTGGCCTGGAACTTGGGAATCCTGCCTCAGCCTCCTGAGTAGCTGGGATTACAGATCAGCACCACCAGTCCATGATTGGCATCACGGTGTATAGAAAGTATGCAGACCTGGGAGTCAAATACAACTCTAGGTTTAATACATATACATAAAATGTAGCTCAGGTTAATTGGCATATCTATTATCTCAGACACATGTCATATCTATTATCTCAGACTTGTCATTCAAAATCGTTTCTACTATTTCCGAAATATTCAATTGTCAACCATAGTAGAATAGTAGATTAATGATACACCTTAGTATAGGGAAATAACATGAGCTAGCTAACATTGGCTTTGATTGTTGCCAGTACCCAGGATAATTTAATTATTTTACTGAGCCTATTTTTTTCTTCCTTAAACCTATAAAATATTAATTTCTACTTTATAGAGTTACTGAGATGACTAAACAAAATAATGTATGTATTAGTAATTCTCACTCCTTAACTCATGCCTGAGGACACACACCTAACACAAGTGCCACCACACTGGTTGCCATCCCTGACACTTTACATGCAACATTCTTTATATTGCCTGCACTTGATTTCTGCTCTGTGCACCTGATTTCTGCTCTACCTATCAATAAATGCATATTTCTTAAGTTTAAAATTTTTAAAAAATCATAAAATTGTCTTGGTCTGGCTGCTATAACAAAATACTAGACACAAACAGACATTTATTTCTCATTCTTCTAGAGGCTGGAAGTCTGATATTAGGGCACCAGCAAGATCCGATTCTCAGGAGAGCCCTCTTGCCTTGCAGATGGCTTCCTTCCCCTTACCATGATGAAGAGAGGAAGTTCTGGTGTCTTTTCCTCTTTATAGGGGCACTAATCCCCCCAGCATAGGGGCTGCACCCCCATGGGCTCATCTAAACTCAATTAACCTGCCAAGGACCTACCTTATAAAACCATCATGTTGGGAGTTAGGACTTCAATATATTAATTTGGGAAGGGGCACAAACATTCCATAGCAATATTTCATAGGCATCATGGTGTGTTGAAAGTTTGCTCACCTGTGCTGACCTGGGAATTAAAAACAATTCCTCACTCATTCACCAAACTTTGGAAAACCATCTACCTTCTTGGGGTCTCAGTTTCTTGTCTATAAGATAAGATGGTTGAGATGGAAGATGTCTTTTTTTTTTTCCTGTTAGAACATTCATAGTCTTAAGACAAAAACTATGACTCCCAAATTATAGATGAAAAAATGAGAGCTCAGAGAGTTTCATTCACTCACTCAACTAGTTTCTTTTTAGGTGCTTACAAGGCACTGAGGATCCAATGAAGAATAAGAGATCAAGCTCTAACACAGCTGTGTTTAAGCGCCTCTCACCCAGCCAGAGAGGTAACTCAAATAGGGTAGGAGGATGGCCTCCCACAGAGGAGTAAGCACTTACATTGAATTAAATGTAATGACTGGAGCTAGGCACCATAGTGTATGCTTGTAATCCCAGTAGCTCCAGAGGCTGACACAGGACAATTGCTAGTTTGAGGCCAGCCTCAGCAACTTAGTGAGGCCCTAAGCAACTTAGCAAGACCCTGTCTCAAAATAGAAAATCTAAAGGCTGGGGTAGGAATCAGCTGCAATAGTAGCACAGGGCTCTTAGTAACAAGCATCAAAAACCAATTGGGGGCATAAGTAGAAAATAAAATTTATTATAATGGCATTTGGTAGCTGATGGAATCTCTAGAGGGTCCAGAAAACCAGGCTTGGAAGTTAAGAACAATGACTTAAAAAGTTGTGGACCTGGTCTTATGAAGACAATACTCCTGCCTCTTCTGGGCTCCACTCCGTGGTTTTTGGCATCCACACTAGTTACACTAGGCCCTGGATTCTGCTCTGAATCCCTTATACTTATGTTTCTGTTTCTTGCTAAAATGGGTTTCCCTGTGACATCTGCCTCCTTGATTCACATGTGCTTATTCAGTGTCTTGTGTGAGCCAGGTGCAGTGGAGCCTTCCTGTAATTCCAGTGACTCTGGAGACTGAGGCTGGAGGATTGCAAATTCAAGGCAGCCTCAGCAACAAGCCCCTAAGTAATTTAGTGAGACCTGTCTCAAAAAAATAACATAAAATAAAAACGGCTGGGGATGTGGCTCAGTGGTAAAATTAAATCCTCAGTACCCCCCAAATTGTATCAAGTTACTATTAATATAGTATTTGCAAAAAATAGTAAACAGAACTTTATTAGTTACTATTGTTTAAAAATTGAAAGCTAAACTAGGCACATGCTTGTAATTCTAGCACTCTGGAGGTTGAAGAAGGAGGATTGAAAGTTCAAGGTCAGCCTTAGCAATGTAGTGAGGCCCTGTCTCAAAAAAAAAAAAAAAAAAGTAGCTTAGGGCTAAAGTGCTCATTGGTTTAATCCCCAGTATCAAAAAAAAAAAAAAAAGATTGAAAGCTAAGCCACAAAAAGAATCTTAGCTTTAATCTTATAAACCTTTAAGGAATGTGTCCATTTATTGGCTAGGTGTTGCAACAAGATCTGTGCTGGTAAGGGTTCATTAGTGGAATTCTCATGAGCACACTAAACAAAATATATTGTAAGTAATAAGATAGATTAAAGTCTAATACTAGCCTCCTATGTGATTTCACTTTCCTAGTAATCCCACAAACATTGTTTTTTGATTATACAGGAAATTCATGAAATATCTGGAGATTTTTGTTTATTTATTTTTGATGCTAGGGATTAAATCCTCCTGCTAAGCATGTACTCTCCCAGTGAGCTACATCCCCAGCCTTTGGAGAAACAATTTAAGAGAAGTAAAAACAGGGCTATGATGTAGAATTGTATGTAGCTATGGCTTTGCCCAGGATAGCAGGATGCTAATAGAACATTCCTTTTTATTCTGGAAAAGATGAATACAGCCCATATCCATGTACAGAGAAGCCAGGTGCCAAAAACTGGGAATCTACACAGCTCTGGGGTAAGAAATATCTGAGCTGAGCCATCACAGTGGCACAGGCCATAATTTCAGCTATTCAGGAGGCTGATGCAGGAGGATTATGAGTTTGAGGTCAGCTTGGACAATTTAGCAAGATCTTTTCTAAAATAAAATTTAAAAAGGCTGGCTATGCAATTTAGTGGAGAATACTTGCCTAGCATGTGCAAGACCCTGGGTCAATTCCCAGTACCACCAAAAGAAAAAAAAAATCATACCGTTTCTAACATAGTTTTTTGAAACATGCACTTTGGGGAAATGGGATGCCATGAGAAGTCCTACTACTCTGAGATCATCATGCTGTGAGGAACCCAAACTCATCCCAGGGAGAGACTGCATGTATTAAGAGAAATACCTGGTCAGCTCCCAGATGTTCCTGCTAACCCAGATGAAGTGCCAGACATGTGAGTAAGGAATCCTTCATGGGCCAGGAATGGTGGCACATACCTATAATCCCAATGACTCAGGAAGCTGAGGCAAAAGATTGCAAGTTAGAGGCCAGCTTCAGCAATGTAGCAAGGCCCTAAACAACTGAGCGAGACCCTGTCTCAAAATTAAACAAATTAAAAAGGACTGGGGAAGTAGCTCATTGGTCTCGCCTCTGGGTTCAAACCCCAGTACAAAAAAAGAAAAGAAAAGCCTCTTGCATGTCCAGTCCAGCCCAAGTTGTAGATGACTCTGACCCTAGATATCATCTGACTGCAACTGTACAAGGGACTCAAGCAAGAACTGCTTGAGTTACCCAGCCAACCTATAAAACTCAGGGATAATCATGCGATCATGTGTTATTTAAGTCACTAAATTTTGGATGGCTTCTTAGGCATCAATAGTCAACTAAAACTAGGGCCAATTATCTTGGTTAAGGTACTAGTAAGACAGTTCATCTAGTCATCTTCCTTGGTGTTAGTAAACACAAAACTATAGGGAATTATGAATCAGTAATTGATTTTTATTAATTAACCCTCAATATTTAATATAACATTAAATATTATATTAATAATATAAATAATATTTAATATAAAAATTAAATATTTATATTAAATATTTAAAGCAGACCCTTTAATACAGATAGTTTGAGAAGTACTGACTTATAATTTCTCATTTCTTTAAAAAAATATTTTATTAGTTGTTAGTGGCCCTTTATTT